GGCTTGGGCGCATCGCTGGTCGTGGACGGCAAGACGTACGAACTAGCACAGTTTCACTTCCACCACCCCAGTGAGCACATCGACAACGGCGTCAGCTTACCGAGTAAGTCGTATCAATCCCGGAATAGGTCACATGGGTACTAACGCGCCATAGTGGAAATGCACATGGTCTTCCAGACAGAAGCAGCGGAAGTCGCCGTCATGAGCGTGTACGTCGACCTCGTCGACGAGCCAACCTCCCTCTTGGTGCACCTTCTCGGGCAGAAGACTGCTTCGTCAACCCTTCTCGAGACCATCTTCTCCTCCGTCGGAGAGATTGCGACGCCTGGCACGAAGACCACCACCCTGCCGTTGATCATGTCGGAGCTCCAGACGCTGTTGACGGCAGGAAGCTTCCAGCGATACACGGGCTCCCTGACGACGCCGCCTTGCACGGAGGGAGTCTCTTGGCTTGTGTCAACGCAAAAGCTGCTGCTCTCGCAGACGACGTTTCAGGCTGTGCGTGATGTAATTGGTTTCAACGCGCGCTATCCCCAGAATAAGCTGGGACAGCCAAATCTTTTATCCATGGTTTCTCTGTGAGATGGGTCGTTTGGAGACGAAATGAACACCGTTCAAAGGCGAGGTTTAATGCTCTTCGACGATTCATAGATATGTGAAGAAGAAGAAATTCATCAATTACCCCCACACGTAAAATAGGCATATTCCGAAGGGTTGCACGCGTGATTCGCTTAGAGATTTACTCGGGAACAAAAGCAATGTTTGATGTGATACTGCAATGGACGGTCTCCAGCTGAACCCGTGGTTGCTTCAGGGCCCCCTTGATGGAAGGAGCTAGGGCCACTTCTCTACTAAACCTAGCGAGCGCCAGTTCAGCCAAGACATTCCGTCATTCCCGCCGTGCAGCGTCGACCACTTTTTTTTTTATCTGCCCAGCCAAATCTGCGCCGGACCAAACACCGACTCATTTATTCATTCATTGACCCGACATTCGCGACTGATCGCCGTGCTCGTCCCGTGAACATGGGCTGCAACTGACACGACAGCACTCACTAGGACCAAGCGGGCTCACCAAGCAAGCGGCACAGCCGACAATCGGTGGACAAGATGTCGTCGTCCTTCTTCGAGCGCGCGACCACGAACTCCCGAGTTCAACTCGCCGCAACTGCCATTGCGTCCGGCGCCGTCGTCGCCAGCGCCATATTAGGCTACCAGAAGCTCCGGGAGAGCGAGCGTGTACACGAGCTCAAAGACTCGATACCTCCTTCTCTCGAGAATGGCGAGGCAGCCCGAAGAGTGCGTGATCTCTAAGCCCACCTTACCCACCCAGTTCCTTGCGCCCCCGGTCCCATCTGCAAAGAGATCCAAAAGCGCATACACAGCTGACCAGCGCAGTAGCTCAACAGCTTCGGCGGCGCCTCCAAAGCCGACAAGGAAGACCTCCGCAACGAGCTCCTCGCCCGCCGCGCCCAGGCCGGCGACTATGACGACGAGCTGATCCTCGAGCAACTCGCGCGCAACCGCGTCTTCCTGACGCCCGAGGGTCTCGACAAGCTGCGCGGCGCTTTCGTCGTCGTCGTCGGCTGCGGCGGCGTCGGCTCGCACTGCGCCGCGGCCCTCGCGCGCTCGGGCGTCGCCCGCATCCGCCTCATCGACTTCGACCAGGTCACGCTGAGCAGCCTGAACCGCCATGCCGTCGCCACGCTCGCCGACGTCGGCATCCCCAAGGTCCAGTGCCTGAAGCGCAGGCTGCTGGCCATCGCGCCCTGGGTGCGCTTCGACCTGCGGCAGGAGAAGTACTGGGACCAGGCCGCAGACCGGCTCCTGCAGCCGTGGATGGAGGAGGAGAATGGGCAGAAGCCGGAGTTCGTCGTCGACGCCATTGACAATATCGATACGAAGGTCTCGCTGCTGAAATATTGCCACGACAAGGGACTCCCGGTGATATCGGCGATGGGCGCAGGCTGCAAGAGCGATCCGACGCGGATTATCGTGGGTGATATCGGTACGAGTACAGACGATGGGCTGTCAAGGTCGACACGGAGACGGCTGAAGCTTCTGGGCATCACGAAAGGTATACCAACGGTGTATTCGACGGAGAAGACTGGCGAGGGCAAGGCAGAACTGCTTCCACTGCCAGACGACGAGTTCCAGAAGGGTCAGGTTGGTGACCTTGGCGTGATGCCTGACTTTAGAGTACGGATATTACCGGTCCTGGGTACAATGCCAGCGGTCTTCGGCTACACAGTCGCGAACCACGTTATCCTCTCTATCACAGGTACGTTTCATATACGCCTGGCCATGTCTGACCATTCTAACCCTGTTGCAGGCTATCCAACAGACTACATACCCGCAAAGGGGCGAGAGAAGATGTACGATAGCGTCATGGCCTCCGTACAAGGAAGCGAGGAAAAGGTCCTGCGACACATGAGCGGTGGTGACCCCAGCGTGTCGGTTGGCTTAAAGGTGCCGATTACAACGGGAGACGTGGCTTTCCTCGTGGAAGAGATGTACAAGGGTCGGAGTGTAGTGACCGGGCTCACAACGCGACTGGTATTGATACGGTGGCGGAAACCAGCGAACACTACGCTAATCAGCATCGGGGAGCCGCCAAACGAACAGAAGTCGTCGAATGTGAGGCTGCATGACCTTGTTTGCATGACGAAAGACGAGGCGACACGGCATGATAAAGAGATAGTACGGGGGAACAAGAAACTGGAAGATGTGTACGATACAGCGACCATTGAAAGAATCGAAGGCCTGTTACAGGAGATTGCCAAGTATGAGCAATATAGATAGACCCTGTTCCAGCTGTCCTGGGTGCCCTAGGTAGCTCCTGGGCTGTACATGGCCATCAACATAGAAGAACTTGGTATATGCAAATCATTCAGCAACTCAGCCCTGTCGGGCGCCAGCTTGCGGACTTTTCACCCGTGAGACTCTGTCGTCAAACTGAACCTCATGACTTCTTATCCGATGCAGTACAAAAACCTGTTCCACCGCGTGTTTCATACCTTGCCCTCACGCCTCAGCCCTTCCCATAAAGCAAGCGCGGCAAGACATTTCGCATCTCGCGCCCCCTGCCTCCACAAATCCTGCATCCGCACCAGCTTCAGCGTGATCTTCTCGCCGTGGTCCCGCAGCCCCGTCAGCTTGCCCGTCCACTCGCCCAGCTGCTCCCGCGGCACGCGGCGCTCGTGCATGTAGATCGGGACGTGCTCGTCGCATCCGCCCGCCGAGGGAAACATGGCGAAGGGCAGGCCCTCCGACTCGTCATCATCGCTCTTCTTCTTCTGCTGCTGCTGCTCCGGACCCTGCGTCGTCGTCGGCGCCGCCAGCTCGCTCAGACACGTCAGCTCGCTCCCTGGGATCCGCAGGCCCAGCTCCTCCTCGATCTCGCGCGCGGCGGCGCCGGCAAAGGTGCCGCCGTCGACCATGCCGGCGGGCAGCTCGACGAAGGCGAGGCTGCCGGCGGGGACGCGGGGCTGCACGGTCAGGATCACGTGGCGCTCCTGTTCCCGTTCCGGTCCCGGGGCGGATGCTGCGGCGTCGTCGTCGTCGTCGGCGTCGTCGGGGATCAGCATGATGAGCATGGCGACGCTGGGGCCGCGGAGGAAGACGGCGCCCGGGAGGGACTCGTCGGCGCGGTTCCGGACGTCGGCCTGGAGCTTCAGGAAGCCGAGGCGCGAGCCCCCGAAGAGGTCGTAGGACTGGATGGTGATGGAGCGGAGGGCGTAGGGGTCCTGGTGGAAGGGGTGCTGTGGGTTGGAGTGCTGGAGGGAGAGGGACCTGGAGAGGGTTTGAATCCAGGACTTGGGGGGTTTTTTTGTTAGCTTTGTTATGGCGCATCGTAAGAGATGGGTGGTGATGGCGAAATTGTGTATACAAGAGGGCCGTACGGGAGAGCATGTGCATAGTACCTAGGTACCAGCTTCAGGTACTGGTAGATCTTGAACTTACAGTGAAAGGTTTAAACCCTGACAGCTGCTCCTCTGAGAGTCCATCGGGTAGTGTAACTTGCACCTCTGGTGTTTTGAGAGTGATGGTCGTCATGGTGCGCAGAGTGTTCTTGGTTATTTCACTAGTGGTGAAATCCAACGGTCGAGGATGTGCAATCGCAAGCAAGGCAGGACTCGCCAACTTGTGCAATGATTGCTGGTGAATTTTCAGTCTGCAAAGCCTTGTAGGTATCTGCAAGGCACATCTCATGGCTGACTGACTTCTTGCAGGCAGCCTCACACTTTAGATTCCTCAACCTTATGCAGAGGTATTAGGAGTCCACAGCAGCCTACCTAACTGGAATGGACCTGTTCGTTACAATGACGTCTGCGTGTGCAGTGGATAGCTTGACAGAAAAGGCAAGAAGAACAGGTACCAACGGAAGAGATGAACCAGATTCTACTTATCTACCACAACCCTTTCTGTATGATATCTCCTTTACCTTGACCCTTCACGTTTTCTTAACTTCCCTTTCTACCAGGCAAGCGTCTTCTATCTCTGATCTCATTCTCCAATATGCGTGGCTGTAAGCAGTGCAACATTTATTGTCGCGAGACTGCCCTATTCGATGTACCTAGTTAGAGGTTCGCCCCATATTTGTCCACCAGCAGAATCAGCTGCTGACAGCAGTAGCGGCGTACATATAGTGCGACGGCACTTCCTTGAAACGACGGTCACTGCGCAGCTCGATGGCCAGTCGCCCTCATATTTCAAGCAGCATATTTGATCACCTTTTCGGCATATTCTTGATCTCTGGAAGATGGGTTTATATGCCTAACTCCACTGATACGGTTGGTGAGGTCTCGATTTATTCGCCTAGCGGACAGTTGGTGGTAGGCATCACCTAGGTCTCAGAACATCTTGAAGGGGACAACATAGAGCTGTTGATACCGTCCTTTTAGATAGAGCATCGCCTAGACATGTACAGTTGTGATTTAGCTCCACACAGCTTGAGTCAAGATATATAATTTACAATAACGAAGCCAATGTATATCAGCTTATCCGCTATAGTGTAACGGCTAACATACCGCGTTTTCACCGCGGAGCTCGGGGTTCGATTCCCCGTAGCGGAGGTTATCATTTTGCATTTAGAACATAATTATCCTTTAGGTGTATGAGTGTCAATTTTTTTTGGTCGTTTTTAACGAAGCAAATGATTCATATCAGGTAGACACTTTAACGCTTTCCATTGAAAACGATCAAGTGCCTAGAGCCTTAAAGGTGGTTACCTGCGTTGTGAACTTTTTCAATTACACATTATAGGTACCTACTGCCCAACAGTGTTTACAAACACCTCGTCAGCAGTACCGCACAATTTCCTCGGGGATTTCTCTGACTGCATGAGTTACGTTTACAGTCAGGGCTGTGCACCTACCGAATGTTCATCATGACAGCTCCACTGAAGGTAATGAAGTTGATGCAGCCAGAACCTCAGGGCTGACACCACCTCAAACGAACAAGCATGCCTCGGGTCAAAAGATATTCTATCACATTTGCCAGAAAATCGGGACATATAAACATCCGGGCGAACAGCATCATAATGCCTGCTGCAAACCCTACAGAGGACAATATAGGACGAATGAAACGGGTTGGTCAATGTCTTGGAACAGATACCTACCTAGATGATCAGATGATTGATCGTCCTAGATGAATTTCAAAGCATGGACGAGAGAAGTCGATGCCAGACGAACATAGGAAAGAGGCAAAGACGGCTGCCAAATGAGAAAATACATTAGGTACAATATAAAATGGAGCTGTAAGCATGCCAGTCCCGAGATACTACGGTGCGACAGCCGGCCGGATGGGTCAAGGCATGATAACGAACCTTTCCTCTCTCTTGGGAGTTCGCGCGAGGCGGCGAGTTTGAAGAAGGCCTTACTTATTACTGAATGGAAATAACCAATTGATTCTCTAAGCTTTGTAATTTTCACTCACATCGTATTTGCTATCAAAGCCCTGCCCAATCTACCAAATTCATATATTCACCTGGACATACTCCCAGCTCGGTAGCTTAAATACGATGATGCCCACCCCTAGTCTTCACCACCTCCCCCGCCTCATTCTGATCCCGCACAAGATACAACTAGGTCTCAGCAACATCCCCCCACCCGCCCATTCCTCCCCGCCGGCAACTTCAACTGGTCCGCCATCCCCTACAGCGCCTTCGTCCTCGCCTTCCGCCCATCCCGTCTCAGAACCCCGTGTCTAACCAAGCCAGGCTCCACGATACTCACACGTGTCGGCGCGAGGTCCCGGCGCCGGATTCCGCGTCCGCCGGATCACGCCCGCGCACTTGTACGCCAGCAGAACTCCGCCTGGGCCTCGGCTTCTCCGCGCGGCTGCGCCCGACGTCACGGCGCAGCCTCTGTCCCGCGTGCTTGGCGAGTGACATTTGGCACCACCATGGACATATGACTCGCCTGGCTAATCACGTCGCAGATTAGGTGAATAGGTTTCAAGTTTGGATTTGTCTTGGTTTTCTCGATGATCAGAGCGTAAGCCAGTTCTCAAAGAGTAGACTAATGGATTTGTTTTGGAAAGGCTAATGCGTAATAAACTGTCAACGACTCTGTTGCCCTATAAGTTTCCAATAAAGCTCATGACTCTGTCCATTCCATCACCGTCTCACGGATTTCATGGACAGCTCGGATTGAGGTATAACCGAAGTTCTGAATGCAAGATGATAGAGCTGGCGTCATGACCGAGTACTTGCGACCTCGCAAAAGTAGGCAGGTACTTGGGAATCTTTTCAGAGTTCGGTGGCACGGGGCCTAAATTCGAGGCACTCACAGTACTGCAAGTCCGTATTAGATCGGACATCTCAAATAGGCAGTTCAGCTCTCCGAAGCCTGAGAACGCTACCACCGTAGAGTTTGCGGTCCATACATGCGTCATGGTATGAGAATGTACGGTGACAAGTACAGAATCGGTCGCTTACCTACGGCTCCAGCAATGGTGAATAATACAGTTAGGTCAAGAGAATGAGACGCTTAGATTTCCATATCTTCACTGACGATCCTCACAAGTGACAGGAGTGGAAGCACTACAAATCAGTACTCAGTGGGTCGATTATTGATCAGTTTCGGTGCACCGAATATGTGCAGGAATAGGTCAGCGAAGCGTCTACTTTACCATTATCTAGGAGTAGTAAGAACTCTTGATGAAATCGCACCGAGCAGCGCATGAAATGCAGACGCGAAAAATGGTCAATCTGCTTCTCAATTGTTAGCTTTTCAGGGCCCACACGTCTGATATCAGTGAACATAAAGACTTACTGATAAGCAAGATCGTGATAGGTTCATGCATACTCCGTACCAAGCGCAGGACAACTGAATCAATCGATCCGCATGAGGTTAACCCCGGTTGCTCGTCGTAATAAATGGTCTCGTCAATTTGGACGCCATCAGTCGTCTTGAACAGTGGATAGATCCATGATCTGTTGCTGACTTGGCGAGGTTTGTCGGTAACTCGAAATAGGAGGTTGACCATCCTGTCTCCGCAGCTCAAACTGCTCATATTGTCCACCTGAGAGACTGTCATTAGCTAAGCTTGTCTTATTAAAAACGCAGTTGATGACTTACCCTTCCTGTTGATCTTCAAATGGCGCTGGACAATATTATAGAGACCGTCGTATCGAAGACCACACTCAGGAAGCCAGGCGTTCCTCTTCGCAGGAGAACGGTAAGAGCCGCCGGAACGGAGGACACGGATTGGTCGACGTCGACGAAGGGACATCTTAAGCGATTGCGTTCCAGAGGTGGATTCGGAGGGCTTGGTGGGATCGTCGTTATTGTGACTATCAGAGCCCGAGTAAAAGAGGGTGTTGCCGCGATCCTCGTCAAGATCGTGGTATGTATCTGCGACGACAATGGAATATGTGCCCAGCTTGGTATCACCGGAAATACCACCAATTCTCATTCCATGGGCGCCGCGAGCAAGAGCGACTAACTGGTTCGCAAACCAGGCGCCAATATGGTGGCCGTTGTGACCAAACACCTTGGCGTCGCGTTTGGCAAATTGAGGGTTCAGCTTCCATACTCGGCGGCCTTTGTCCGTCTTGAATCTGATAACCCCATCGAAGATGCCTCCAGCACCCCAGATTGGGTCATTGGCGGAAATGTTGACCGTGGCAGTAGAAACGACCGTGCCACCGGAGTCCTCGTCACTATCGTGGACATCTTCATCTGTTACGGCATTGGCGCCCCAATTCTCGGATGTCCACTTGTCGAGCAATTCTCTGGCATCTTCCTTGATCTTGTCGGGCATTTTGGATTCGGAGCCGATCACCGTCGTGAGCACCCGGTCGACGTTGAAACGCTTTTTGATCCAAGGCGTCATCTGAATCTCCTGCTTCATCCACACGAGGAACTCGTAGCACCGCTCAAGGCCTCTCTTTCCATTGTCGGTATCATCTAATGGTTTGCCATTGGCACTCTGCCTGGTGAGTACGTGTAAGTTGCGCAGCTCGACTGCCATGAAGTGATCACGACTCTTCTGGCTGTTGCCAACGTTGAAGACCACGACTTGAGAAGACATCTTGCCGACCTGTGCGAGGCACCGCTCAACGAGAGACCGGTGTGATCCTGTATCATTTTGATTAGCGTACGATGTTTTTTTTTTAAAAAAAAAAAACAGGTGTGCATTGTGAAGAGTCGAGATGAGTTGAAGTTTCGGGCGTCTAAAAGGGGTAGTAAACCGCTGCAAGCTGTAACTGTCGGGAAGCCATGCACACGCCTGGTTAGGCAACAGGGTAAGAAAGCAAGGGCGAGACAATGCAAGCCACCAAGTACCTAGGAGGTAAATATGTAAGCCGTCGCAACGCTATATTATAATCGCATACCTTATACGTCAAGTGAAACAACGTTGCAGGAGCCGAGAATCCACATATTAGTCGGGAAAGCGCAAAGGCAGCCGGGCGAGATACAGCTTCTGGCAAATCGCAAAGGTCGATACTGCTTAATGTTGCTGCATTTCAGGGTTTCAGGACTTGGGAAAACGGAAAGGAAAGTGTAAGAACAGGCGGACCAATATGACCGCAATCAGCAAACCGATAAGTTGGTAATCGCAGGTTGACCTCCGCGACTGCAAAATGACTTAGCGATTAGCAGGTATATTACAAAATGAATAGTTAAGTAAGCAAAAACAGTGACGGCAGCTGCGAAGCTTGCAACCCGTTTAGAATTGCAGGCGCTAAAGTTGCGTATAACCGGGTATAAACCCCCGGGTAGCAGTAGCGGCCCGGAAAGACTAAGTAATGATATATAGGGAAAGTCTTACAGTATGTGCGAAAGCGTGCAGCTAGCTCGCTTAAGAGTTGTAGCTAGTCCGGAAATCGTGTAAGCAGTATGCTGATTTACTGGCAAGAGACACGGCGATGCTTTACGGCGATTATTTGTTGTACAAATACCGTTGTATTCGAAGTTTACTTTATATTACTACAGAGTAACCACTCCATGGTAACTACTACTTGCCGGCCCTTGCCGAATACGTAGCTTATAAAGTTACAGAAGCCCTTAAAATAAGATGGAATACCTTGTACTACAGGGTAATCCAGGTAGAATTCTATAGAATCACATGGAATTACTTAAAATATTCTGGAACCGTTGCTTACAAATTAACCGGTTATAACTTAGTGTTGTACGAATACCGCTATATTCGAAGTTTACCCTGTACAATAGGGTAACTACACCGTACAGCCCTTAAAATAGGATGGATTACCTTGTAACTACAGGGTAAGCCAGGTGGAACTCCATAGAACCACATGGAATTACTTAGAATATTCTGGAACCGTTGCTTATAAATCAACTGGTTATAACTTAGTATTATTACTTAAGTTATACTTGATTTATAAGCAGGATTAGTAATATGGAAACATATGGAATTAAGTGGAATTATGGGAAATTGTTGTGACGATACGTCCCTTTGCGTGCTAGCGAAGGGAGATAAGGTATAGGGTTTATGTTCCTAAGGTAAGGCACGATAGCCGTACAAATATTAGGCTGGGGGTATATGGAGTTTTTTGCCGCTAGGGGTTTACTTGATATCGATCGTTAGGAAGTATTGCTCCCTTTAG